TTTAAGGTGCCACCAGACTCCTTGTTGTTTTTGTAGATACAGACTAACATGGCTACCCCGATACTTGATTTCCATGTCAGTTACTTGAACATATACATAACCTTAGATTAAGTCTTAACTGCCTACGATTCTGAAGCCTCTGATCAAGTGTGACTGTTATTTGGCTTTGCATTTTAGTCTGTCCTCATGCTCTGGTTGTAAGAGGGGACATGAAAGTAACTATACACTGTTTTTCACAAGTGCCTCATTATCTGGAGAACTGCAAAGTAGGTCATGTTTCAATATTTTATTTCTTGTAGGATTGTTAGTAAAGGTATGAATACGCACTGAGGCCTTCTCTGTCTGACCAAGGAAATGCAACTTTTAGAATAATTGGGACTGTCTTTATTAAATATTTAAGTAAGTGAATTTTCAGAATGTCAGTGTAAATGGGCAGAATATATCTCAACATCCTCAACAGAATGTAAAGACCCTCAGTTAGCTCAAATCTCATGCTCTTCTTGGGTAAAGTAAAATTCTAATAAATCATAAACCACAATATAAGCTTCCTCCCTCAACTTGGTTCTCCCTCAGTTTTTCTCTCCAGAAACAACTCTGTTCTAGCCCCTTAGGACTCTCTGTTCAGAGGGACGCTCACCTTCCCTATATCCCCTCTTCAAGTGACAAAGCACACCTACTACGCAAGTCAGATGAATTTTTGCAGCTTTATACAGGGTTCTACCACCTCTGAAAATATGGGTTGACAGAACATTGCTGTGACAGTTTTCTGGGAAAATCTTGTGACTTAGGAGCTTTGGAATATTTTACCATAAATTTCATGTTTTTAATAAGGCTTAACATTTGGTTCGTGTTTCCCTTCTGTAAGGTAGATGCAACAATCAAAATAATAAAGCAAAGAGTTTCTTGGGAAGGAGCAAGAAGATAAAAATGTAATTATGGAAATGGAAAATCTTAAGCAGTGGGGGAAGAATACATAGAGAAAGTAAGGAGGAACGAGGTATGCTGAATTATTTAATAATAATGGATTAGCAGCATTCATAACTCAAAGACAGAACAAAAATACTTGGACATGGATGTCGGAAATATAGAGCACTTGTTAGATTTTTTAAATATGTAAACAACAGAAAAGCTACCAATACCTGATACACCTTCATGATATTAACTGTGCCCTCTCCATTCTGATCTGGAGATCCTTGATTCTGCAGTAGATTTCTCACCGTCTCCTCCATCCTGGAGAATGAAAATACAAAAACATTTTAAAGGTCAGAAATCTCTGTATGTGGATAAGACATGTAGTGTTAGGTCATTTAAAGGACAAAATACATCATTCTACTGTCTACTAGCAAATTAATATTCATAGGATATCCTGGTCTTGGAACTTTCTTCACTTCTATACTGGAGCCTATGATTAACACATTTAAAGGGCTTCTTTACCTTTTACATGTGTAGGGTAGTGAGAGCTTCCTTTTTATGTGAGCTACAAAGGGAGTTTAATAAACATCAGACAACATATGCAGCTAGCAGGCATCTTCTTGATGTCAGTGTTGTAGCAGCAGCAGAATGATAAAATTAATGCCATCTAAAAAAATCATTCATAATTTTCCAGAAAAGTACAGGAGTACTTGTGGCACCTTAGAGACTAACAAATTTATTTGAGCATAAGCTTTCGTGGGCTACAGCCCACTTCTTCAGATGCATAGAATGGAACATATATTGAGGAGATATATATACACATACAGAGAGCATGAAAAGGTGGGAGTTGTCTTACCAACTCTGAGAGGCCAATTAAGTAAGAGAAAAAAACTTTTGAAGTGATAATCAAGATAGCCCAGTACAGACAGTTTGATAAGAAGTGTGAGAATACTTACAAGGGGTGATAGATTCAATGTTTGTAATGGCTCAGCCATTCCCAGGCCCTATTCAAGCCTAAGTTGATTGTATCTAGTCTGCATATCAATTCCAGGTCAGCAGTTTCTCCCTGGAGTCTGTTTTTGAAGCTTTTCTGTTGCAAAATTGCCACCCGCAGGTCTGTCATTGAATGACCAGACAGGTTAAAGTGTCCTCCTACTGGTTTTTGAGTGTTATGATTCCTGATGTCAGATTTGTGTCCATTAATTCTTTTGCGTAGAGACTGTCCGGTTTGGCCAGTGTACATGGCAGAGGGGCATTGCTGGCACATGATGGCATATATCACATTGGTAGATGTGCAGGTGAATGAGCCTTTGATAGTATGGCTGATGTGATCAGGTCCTATGATGATGTCATTTGAATAGATATGTGGACAGAGTTGGCATCGGGCTTTGTTGCAAGGATAGGTTCCTGGGTCAGTGTTTTTGTTTAGTGATGTGTGGTTGCTGGTGAGTATTTGCTTCAGGTTCGGGGGCTGTCTGTAAGCGAGGACAGGTCTGTCTCCCAAGATCTGTGAGAGTGAGGGATCATCTTTCAGGATAGGTTGTAGATCTTTGATGATGCGCTGGAGAGGTTTTAGTTGGGGGCTGAAGGTGACAGCTAGTGGTGTTCTGTTATTTTCTTTGTTGGGCCTGTCTTGTAGGAGGTGACTTCTGGGTACTCGTCTGGCTCTGTCAATCTGTTTTTTCACTTCAGCAGGGGGGTACTGTAGTTTTAAGAATACTTGATAGAGATCTTGTAGGTGCTTGTCTCTGTCTATGGTATGTTCCAGGATAACTGAAATAAAATTTCTTATAATTTTCCCACTCCATGTATGTTTGGTTTACATTCAAGTAAACCTCACAACTAGAACTCTGTGAAAATGTGTCAGTAACATTTACAAGTGTGTTGATGACTCGCCTTCTGAAGGATTGAGAAAGTGGGCATACCTTACTGCTCTGTTTTTTCCCCTCTTCACTTCAGTCCACTACAATCTGTGGCCCCCAAATTAAAAGTTTAATGTTAAAGCAGTAGTAGTGGGAGCAGGATCCTTTATGGTCCTGCTGCAAAAAGGGGTTGAGGTGGGCTGTCACTCATAATATACCACCAACCCAGTGAAGAGATCCAGGTGTAGGAGTGGGGAGCAAACTAGTTGACCTTGAAGGCTTTTGAGGTGTTTTGGAATGAAGTAAAAGCCAACTTGATTTCCTCCTGGCACTGAGGGTCGAGGATGGCCTGCACTGCAGAAGGAGTGCCTGAAGAAGACTAATTCAGACACAGTTCTATGAATGGGTGCAGTATGTTCTCCCTCTTAGCACAGCAATGCTAGCTAGTGTGGAGGGAGGAGGAGTGCGAAGACTGGGATCACGGCTCGTTCTGCAATAGAGGCACAAGTGCACTGCTTGGTAACCTTTTCCCCACTTACATCCCATGTAGGGCTGGCCACAATCTGCCATTATAACATCATGAGAGTTTAGTCAATCTCAGCTCAGACATTAAAAAAGAAAGAATGTTTGTGCTATTATGCTGGTAGGTATTAATGGCTTCCATCAAGCATGCCTTTGATCGATCTGCAATCACAGAGCTTGTTAAAGCTGATGGGCATGCTAGCTACTCTTATTTCAGGCTGAATGGAAGAAGCAATTGGGCTCCTTTATTGAGTAAGATAGCTTTAGATAATGGAAGCCACTGTCCAAGGCACTAGGCCACATGCAGGGCTAATCAAAAATCAAGCCAGGTGGGTAAAGGGGTTCCACAGGGACTGATTGCTAGTGCAGGGGCTAGGGCTTTGATTGGTTGCAGATGTGTTTGTCCAAGTATATCAGAAGCAGAAACAACCAGAGAGCCAGAGAAGCTGTCATGAGTGTGACCTTGCAGGGAGTAGACAGAGCTCACTGGATTACAAGACTGACTGGAAAAGCAGGCTTAGAGATTGTGAGTAAGGAAACAACCTGCTTCTGTTTGTTCCTACTAAGTTCACAGAAACAGGACTTTGTGAACCTTCTTTGTAATTAAAGAGGACTGCACCAAAGAAATACCTGACTCTCTAATGGAAACAACCCAGTAAGGCCCCAAATGTTAGCTACCCGGACAAGGGGCAACAGTGCCATCCTTACATAATCTTTGTGCACCTGCTTGTCATTCGAGTCTTTCAGTCTGATCAGAATCAGTAGTTACTAATCTAATGACAACATTCCTGCTTGCTTAGTTCTCTCTTTTATAGTCAGCCAGCAACATCCTACTTCCTGAGAAGCAGGCACTGTGAGGCATTCATCCTAGTCAGATGCCCAGTGACATTTCCCTTATTTTTATTATATTTTTTTAGTTGATGTGAATGTTTTTGCATTGCCAGAATGCACACGGAACAGTTGGACCATCTGTTGACCAAATGTGAATAAGAATAAGCCAGCTCTAATCTCCAGTGCAGACAGTGGTACATAGTTTTTCAGTGGCAGACTGGAACCATTTCTGCTCATCGGCTGACCTTAATCAGAGCCTTTTTACTCAGGAGGCCAAATCCTTTTGCTTCAGAATATAATCCATAAAAGACGACAAATATTTTAATTCCTAAAATGTGAACCCCTAATTTTTAAAGTTATTAATATAGCAGGGTCTCTTTCTACTGATATATATTTATAATATTATGAAAAGCCCATGCAAATGAATAAAGAGACTTAAATCAGAAAAGAAAACGAGGAACAGATCCACCTCTCACTAAAGTTAATGGGAGTTTTGTCATTGAATTCTGTATTAGCAGGACCAAGGACAATAATATGAATGAAAAACAATGTAGGTGCAAAAAATCAAACCACCTATGAAAAAGAATTGTGAAAAGCACTATAATAGAAGTCATTTGTTGCATGATAGCTTCTCTTAGCCTATTTTCTGGGCACAGACAATTAGGTTGACTGTCCTGGATTGCTTCTCTGTGTGTGTGTATAAAGCAGAAACTTATTTTCTCTAAGAACTTTGTAGGGATTGGCTGTACACTGTTCTATTTGGAGTATAGTGATCAGATACTCTTAGCAAAACTCCAATTTACACTGGCAGAACAAAATACAAACTCACCCAGACGACAGGCAGAGTTGATCCAACTGGAGGTTAAATATAGTTTTTTTGTTTGTTTGTTGATATTAAAGAAATGTATAAAGACAAGCTTGATTATCTGTAATGCTGATTCAGCCTGTACAATGAAATTTACTTTAGATTTCCAAAGGTCCTGATTTCCCTTTAATCAGGTATCAGTGGAAGAGTACGAGGAGAAAGAATAAATAGACATCTGCCAAAAAGGCAAGTCAAATGCCCTTAGATTCAGCTTTAGCAAAGTTTGTCAGGCACTGCCATTGTGGTTTACCGACTGCTATTGCTAGCATTCCTTTTTTATTTGAATCCCGGTCTTCCATTTTAGGAGGAACTGCTTAACCAAACATGCTGTACCACAATAATTTAATCTGCTTCCTCATTAAATCAGCATTCAGTGCTTCTAATTTATGAGAGCATTAATAAAAGTTAATTGTTATATTATAATCTACATTAGTCTGCACAATTAAAGTATATGCCAGTAAAATTTAATACACTATTTTAAAGTTTGGCTAGGCCCTCCCCGCAATCCAGTTTGAGAAAGAGCCTCTTGCCCCCAGGAATTAGTTCTCTAGTGAGGCCTTCCCATGGCCGACTTTATCTGGGGATAGCATATAAATTTTGAACCACAGTGACATTGATGAACTATATAGTTGTCAGTCATGTTTGATGATGACATCACAGCATCTTGTGTGTGCTCTTGTGGCTGTACAATCCGATCTGCAAGGAGCAAGGTCACGGTAGGTGTCACACAAAAATGTCTCCCATTGAAAACGTGGCATGATGCTTGGCCCTTTTTTCAACCAGTTTTTCACAGATGTTTTTCTCAAAGTGTTCACAAACTTTATTGATAGTTTCTCTCCATTCAGGTCTGCCTGTGGCTGTGTCTTCTAAGTTATTGATATTTATGCTGCTTGAGTTGAGATTCTGCTTAAGGATGTCTTTGAATTGTTTATGTTAGTCACTCAGTCCAAGTACACTTACGCCAAAGATTTTCATTTTTCTGATAAAAGCATTAACCTTCCCTACCCTTGTATTTTCCTGTAAGTTTCATTTTCTTTTCAGGGCACTGTGCTGCTAAAAATATGTGCATTACAGCACCATACGGGACGAAGTCCACATATACACAAAACCCATTCAACATTTCAGGAAATAAATCTCATAAAGACAGAGAGAGAGAGCATGCACAGATACAATTTGTCTTCCATTCGGTTCATCAGTACTAATGCTTGCCAACTGGGAAATGCCAGGTCAGAGACTGC